CTTTTTCACCTCTCTTGTGATAGCTGTGCCCAGCATTCCTAACGTGTCCCAGTCACCTGGGACCCCCACTTTTGCTCCCATGCCACTGGCTACATTGGAGGGATGCCCTATGGTGGATGTCCCTGCAGGACAGGTCTTGCCTCCTCGGCTCCTTTCCTCCACCTTCTCGCCCTTGTCAGAGCAGCGCTACGCACTCACGATCCTACAGCCTGCAAATCCCTCTGGACACAGCCTCTGCTCCCGCCTTCTAGCCGCTCACATGGTTTCCCTGGTTTTTTTCAGACAAACCAAAGACGTCAGCAACAGCAGCCAAGGACTCTCCCAGCCACCACATCTACTCCTCTGCTTTTTTCCTAGCTACTCGTGGGAAGATTTCCTGACTCCACGTGCACAGCAATTCCTACTGGCCCCTCTCTCTCCCACACTTCTACCTCCCTGCCTGATTCCTCCAGTCCGTAAGTCCTCAGCCTTCTGCCTCACATTACACGCAGCTACAACTTGGTTCAATTCTCCTTGGATCCAGTGACTCCCCTCAGCAATAATCAACTGCCATCTATGTCTGTGCCTTCATATTTTCCTTTTCCAGCTAAGCACTAGGTCCCCACGAATCCTGCCACGGCTCTTCCCACTCCCCTAGGAGTCTCTAATGAGAGCGTGACAATATACCGCCCGCCAGGATCCATTCCAGCCATCTGCTATCCATCGAGGTACTTTTACTGCACCTCTGGCTGTGCCATCTCGGCATCAGAGACAGCGTGATGGGGGGGTGCTGAGAACTTAAACAAAGGCAAGAGGTAATGATTAGAAAGACTCTTGATTTGTCACAAGCCATCAGAGCCTTCCCCGACAGGGCTGATTTATAGAGCCGATTTCAAGTAGAAGATGAACAAGCGCAGAGCAATGTGAAAATACTGGCGAAGGCCAAGCAAGCTATAAACATTTGCAAGGCGCATGCTTGCCTTAGGTTTCTTTTTATCTCTTTAAGAGCCTATGCCCCATGGTGCCTTTTATTGTTGCTGCACATGGAAGCAAGCCCAAAAGATCACTCTCAGACAGAGTATCCCACAGAAACGAGTCCTGTTTCAAATCCTCTGTTGTAACAGGAAACGGGGTGATTTTTCTCTTCTGTTTATTGTTATTTGCTGCATCATTCGGTGCTTTGCTGAAGATTGCAAGGGGTCTTTTTTGTTGCTGTTCACTTTTAGAAGCAAGGAACAGTTGTGCTGAATCTTATAGATGAAAACAAACCTACAGTTTGTGGCACGGTCTGTTCATCACTTAAAAAGGACTAGAATCGCCTCATATCTGCTTAGAACCCCAAGTGCTTGATAACTGCCTTCGCACTCTTGAAGCGAGCCTGCAAAACTAGCGCATCTCAGATTTTCTGTTGGTTTTTTTTCTTGTTCCAAAGTGGAGGAAGGCTGTGTCAGAGGGGAGAGACCCAGCCCCACACAGGCACACATCCCAACTGCGGGAACTTCAAACCCAGGGATACTCACAGCTTGCTGAGGTTTTCCAGCCCTGTAAAGGCTCCGTTGGTATCTTCTATTGTACCCGAGATGTCGTTGTGGTCCAGTTCCCTGGGGAGAGGACAAGAGAGCTCATAATCAGTGTCTTAGTCCTAGACTCATCGTTAAAAACAAATGGCAGAAAGTTTGAGAGCACCACACCAAGAGCTTCCCGCTTTCTCCTGACAGTTATCAGCAAAAAGAAGAGTCTGGCAGCAAAGCAGCACTAATTACTTTTCCTACACTGACCCATGCTGAGATGGTGCATTCCAAGAAGAGCCCCAGCTTTTTCCTGGCTGAAACCCTCTCTTTCGGAGACAGCAGCAGTGCCAGAGCTACTTCTTAACAAGTAGGTTTCAGTCCTTTTTTAATTCTGTGCATCCAAACAAAAGGAGAAAAAAGAAAGTTGCAAAACTAAACTGAAAGAAAGAGCTGTCCTTAAATGCTATCGGGAATTAAGATAACTTTGGCTAGTCCCATATATACATGTATTTGTCGAAGTTATATCTTAGGAAGATGATCTGGTGTATTTTGGTGCATTTTTTTTCTGGTAATGAACTTAAAAGGTCAACAACCATTATCCCTACACAAGTCTAACTGTATAACCACTTTTAAAAAAAAATGAGTAAGAATTCCTTTTTGTTAGCTTCTTTTGGCTTTCAAATTGACTATCAATTACAAGAGTCAAAGGGGTCTGAAGAAGAACAAGCACACAGAACAAACACAGAGATCCACAAAAGCTGTTTAAACAGTCTGTTTAAAAATCCTTCCCTCCTAGCTTTAATTCCAGCTAGCAATGAATACCCACCAACACAGACAGAAATTTATCATTTCTAATGTTCAGTAAAAAGAAAGAAAAAATAAACAGACTTTGTTGGTTTTGTTACATCACCGTGATTTAAAACGTAGCAAAACCCAAAAACAAAGCAAACTTAACTATCCAGATAACCTCCTGAACCCTCAGGTACTCCTTTCGCACCTTTTGAGGATGACAATCAGAACACTTCCAGTTAAAAAATATTAAGACCAAAAAAGTAAAGAACACATCACCATAACTAAGCAAAATCTCCTGCATTTTGCAACATTCTAGGCACGGGCATCATAGTGTAGTTTCTGGGCTATGCATTACAACCACACAATAATCCACAAGGAGGGAACAGAAATTTAAAAGACCCCACGGTTTCACTCTTGGCGTGGTTCTCATCAGCCGAGATGGGGCTGAGATGTTTCCTCCCGGCATCCAGGCTGGCAGCAGCCTCTGCTTGTTTCTCAGCACTGGTGTGTGAACTGAAGATGTGAAGGGAAATGGCCAAAACCTGCCATTTCCCATTCCTCAGGGGGCTGCAGTGTGAGACCTCCATCTCCTGTCCCTGGGGAAGCCTGGCCTTAGCCAGCATCACTGTGGATGTCAGGGGACTCTGGGGGTTGGTCTCTGCCAAAAGGATGGATAAAACCCCCATATCCCCGCAGGGTGTGGGCGCACATAATGCTCTAGTGGCTTAAGAGACAAGTCCAGGAGAAACGCTTTGACGTGCTGACATTTTCAGTGCTATCTGAGCGGGGCAGGAGCAAATACAACCTCCTGGAGCCGAGTTTCTAAACTTCCCCTATAGTTGCCAAGCCAATGCCCGTTGTTGTGTTTGTTTTTTCAGGGCAAATCCCTTCTCAGACATTTCTCCTCTTCAGTTCCACCACAGGCTACCGGTCTTTGGACCAGCAAACCCTTTCCCATGGCAGACAGACAAGTGGGAACAGCCTGTAGGAGCTCTCTGACACACACTTTTATTAATTGACTGCCATGCATTGTGTTTTCTTGAAAAAGGAAAAGAAAACGGTATTGCTTGTTCATCCAGAGGCAACTCAAAGGTTTAGTGTTAGAAAGGAGGAATAAAAACCTTTTTAACAAATGAGTGAAAATAGAGAGAGAGGGGCAAAAGAAGGGTATTTTGGCCTAGCTCTCTTTGTATTCAAAGTCTTCTCCCAGCCCCTGTTGCCAATTTCCTATTCTTTCTGGCTGGCTGAGCTTGAATGCTTGCAGCCTTGTTAATCATTGTGCTCGGAGGTCCCTGGGCCTGACCTCTATTTGAATAGCTCCACATTTCAGCAGTTTCACACCCACCAAAAGCTCCCAAACAATAGGCCATAATTAAAGCATGCTCGGGTCTTTTTCACCAGGTGCAGGACCCAATAGGCCTTTCTCTTTATTAAATTAGAGCTCGCTCACACACTCCTCCCCCCTCTGCCCTAGACATAAAAGAGGCTCCACATTCACTGCAGAGCAAAGAGAACTACTGGCTCCCCTTCCCCTCCATTTTTCTTTGGAAACCTTTAGTTCCGGTCTTGACAGCTGCTTCAGAGAGGTCCTGTTCTGAATGCCCAGTGGCTGAAAGGCTTTGGCTTAAGTTTAAAAAAAGGAGGAGGGGGACAAAAAAAAGCAAACAAAACCCAAACTCTCTTTCCAGTCACTTCCTTCACTGTGAACTTCAATAAAGGAAAGAGTAAGATGGAAAAAGTACTGTAAAGAGGGGAGATCTCTCTGTTCCCAGTTCCTTTCAATTACTCAGGCCACAATGGGGTTCTGAAGAGGAAGAAAAGTATCAAAGTGTGGTTTTTTCCCTTCGAGAGAAGAATGAAATCAGTCTGCTGAACTCAAGCAGCCTGGGAGCAAGACAGTGCTGTAAGAGAGACTGTGAGAACGTCGTGGTGTGCCAGCTGAAGGTGCTGAGCCCGCCAGCTCTGCAAAGGGGAGGAGAGCAGGCAGCAGGTACACATAAAGGAGATAGAGGCAACACAGCTCCAGGAATGGATAGTCATTAGAACTGGATTCCCCATCTTCTGATGTTTTTAAGGGAAGTTCAAATGTACTTCAGTCCAACACAGCTCTTGGGTTTAACAGCGAGTAACAGTTCAAGTCTAGAGCTGGCATCCCAGCGGAGGTCGGATGGAGCTGTACAACGGTCTCTGCTAGCCCTAAGATCTTATACATTTGGTATCTGGACTGGGAAGCTCATTTCCAGTGCCACATTCCCAGGTATTACGCTGTGTCAGTGACATTAAAATTTAAGTCTCTGGTAAATGGCTGCAGATACCACTGGATGAATCATTTTGCAATTCACTCTCAGGACACACAAAACTGTTTGATAGCATGGCAACTTTTTTGTTGTTCAGGGGTTATCATGAAAATCAGGGCAACAACATTTCATGACTCAAGTGAGCCCAATTTTGCATTCAAGAGAAATGCTTCTGGTTACTCTCATGGTACCTGCAGCAGCTTCTTGCTCCCATGGTTGGACCCAAGACTGGGTGAACCTTCACATATCATTACACTTCTGGTACAATCAGATCCCAGGTTCAACCTCTGAATTTCTTTGTTTTACCATTGCTTGTTTCTTCTAAGAATTTCACTTATAATCAATACAAGCAAGAGAAATTCTGCTATTAGCTGGAAGGACTTTTGTTCAGCTGGACTACATTCAGGATCCTGTCCTGCACTCCTCTATTTTTACTCTCGAGTCCTCTACTCAGAAAGCACCCTACAACACCGAGCAGTCCAACTGCAAGTCTAACTACTCTTAATTAAAAACCCACAAGTTCACTAAAGTTGAATAATGGGGTAAACACGACAGCTGCTAAAACAACAGAGCAGCATGTAGGGGAGTTTGAGGACACAGGCACCCAAAGCAACTGCAAAGCAGAACAGTTTGGCAGAGGACAATCAGCTCAGGGAAGACTGGTGTGTTAGCTGGCAAAAACCGGGAGAAACTTACAGGACACGAAGGTTCTTGAGTCCCTTGAAAGCACCTTCTGCAATGTGGTTGATGGAATTGTGGCTCAGCCGTAGTACATGCAGTCCCCCCAGGTCTGCCAAGCTTCCCTCATCCAGCCTGGTTAGGTTGTTGTAAGACAGTATTCTGAGGAAAAAAAACCAAAACACAACAGCCCTTGTCGATCTCATCAGTATTTTCCAAATTCCTCTGTGCCAACCAGCGCCTGCCTCCTTACAAGAGGCGATACGTATTGGGTGGGCACACCCAGCTGGATTGGGAGACAAGACTGCAGTGTGCAGATATTCCCACACGACACCCACGGAGCAGCCTGCATGATCATAAGGGAGCAGAAGGCATTCAGCACCCAGCTCTAGGGAAGTCACCTGTACAGGCAACAGAGAGAGCCTCCTCCAGAAGCGAATGAGAGCAATAACCCAACACACATGTGCTGTCAGTCAGAGCAGGGACGAGCTTCTCCTTCTCCTGTACGGCTCGGTTAGGGCCTGGGAGCCCCACTCCTCCTCTGTCCCCAGCTGTACAGGTGACTCTTGGGTATTAGCCCTCCTTACGCTCAATCCTCACTCCCATTTGGACTCTCTCCAAGGCTTACAGGAAAAAGCAGCCGCCTCCTTCCCCACACCCTTCGAGGTGGAGAAGTGACGTCAAACGGATGGATTTTGAAGTTCACATGCGCTCTTGGCAGGGTCCAGGCCTCGGTACTGAGGAGGTGCCTTATCGTTCCGCACTTGCGTGCAGCAAGCCCCAGGCGGCTGGGCGTGGGTGTCTTCACAGCCCGCTCTGTCCCAGTCAGGAGCCAAAAGCATTTCACCACAAGGCAATCGAACGCTTCCTTTCATGCACAGGAAAGAGGTATCTGTTGTAAACCAGCCATCTTCCCTCCCGCTCCCCTTTGTCAAGGAGCATACATGGGCCTTGAAATCTTCTCTGCAAATGACTAATATTGGAGGGTCGCTTTTTTTCCCTAGTTTTCTATCCATCTCCTCCTCTTGCCTGTATTATCTCTGTGTTTGGAGATTTTTTTTAAGCGCTGCTCCTGTTGCAGTTTGGAAGCTGGTGGGAAGAAAGTTGTTTTTCTCTCCCAGCCAAGATGCAGCTGAGGCGTCTGAGACTTGACACCGAGGGCAGGGCAGGGGAAGCTACGAGCCACTGCAGACACCTCACGTGCTATGCAACCACCTTCAATGCAAGCAGTAAAGCATTGCTGACATTGAAGGTTGGCTTGGCTCATCAAATGAGGGACCTCCTCATTTGCAGCAGGCAGAATCATCCAGTCATCTTCAGCCTGAAGAATTCACCTGCAGCTCCCTGCTGCAAGTATATTCCTCCTGATTTCTGGATGTCCCTGCAGCTGGGTAAGCCCTGCAGAGCTACTGGCAGGGGAGAGCGACCAGCAAGAGCCTCAGTTTTAAATTGCTGGCACAATGACAGGTGGGGAACGGAAAGTGGCATTTGGCTGCATCATCGTCATCTCTGATGATACATACCTCTGCTCAAATTTTCTCAAGCTTATCTCTTTACAAAGGGCACTTCAAAAGATGTGAGGGTGAACTTTTCAAAAAGTGGAGTTATGCAGCTTTGAACAAGCCCTGAAATTCTTAATTGTACAGATAACAAGGAAAAAAAAAAATCTGAATTCCAAACCTCCAAATTCCTCTTCTAGTACTGCCTGTTAATGAGTCTGCTTAAAAATCTGTCTAGGCCTTGCATGACAGTCACTGCAAAGCCAAAACCTAAGTCAAAACAGACACATATTCCAAAGCACCGAGAGTCATTTACTTGGCAAATGAGCTGTCTATCTTTTAGCTGTGTGAGCGGGCAGAGGGCAAGCTTTGGAAAAAAACTCAGCAAAGATTAATGAGTTTGAAGAAGGTATGGGACAACATACTTTCATTCCTAAAGAAGTTGCAGCATTACTTATGAAGACCTGGCATCCAGTCAAAATTATATCCTCACCTGCGATTAAAGAACTTAGCTTTAAAAAAAAAGAAAGTAAAGGCGTTCAAAAGCAACCCTAAACATGGCTGAGGAAGAAGAAAAAAGCTCCTTTTGATTCTACACAGAGGAGTTCCTGCCACAACTGGTGAAGACATGTTCCCCTCTGTTCCTTCTGATGTCACCTCAAGGTGGATGGACAGTGGCAGCGTTTAGAAGACTCCATGTCTGCAACCAGATGGAAGGTTTCAGCTGCTAAGGCACCCAGCAAACGGCTTCTTTCAACAGCAAGGGCTCTGCTTCTCACCAACGGGACAGGCCGGTTTGCAAACTGGTACATTTCCCTCCTGGGCAGGTTGGATTATCTGGGTTGAGAGAAGTCAGCCAGTCTCTGCTGCTTCCCCTACCTTGTCATCTCTCTCGTGGACGAGGTACATCCAACACTTTTCATTCCCACTGACCAAACTATAGGTGAAAAGTAAAAAGAAAGACCCAGCAGCCAAGTCATCGTTTACCTCTGATGAAATCTTATGCTCCCACTGTGGATGGTTTTCCATGATGCCCTAGCACCTGACTGGTGAACATAATCAGCTCTCTCTCAAGCCCATAACAAGGCAAGAAATCTCTTGTTATCAGATCTCAGCCTTGGGATCACGCTGTCTCCCAACAACCTAAGGAGAGACCAATTCATCTTTCAGACGACCACCTCCTTCCTTCGCACACATAAGCAGGGGTCTGGCCACCTCTCTTTATTGGGTTAAGGACTTTGAAATTCATTCCATGTACAACCACAGACAGTGTTTTCTGATAACTGAAACCCAGTAGATTTAGCAACAGGGGAGGTAAGCAAGGATCTTTTAATAAGGAATGAAATGTACACATTCAAAGTGCACAGGGGCAGGCTAGGTGTATCTAGTGCTTCCTGTCCTCACCCTTCAATTCCAGAGCAGACCTCTCCTACAAACACTCTCTGGCTGTGGGAGTTTCAGTTCGGTGTATCTGATGGCTCCCTGCAGCAGCCTTACCCTAAAGGCAACACCTGCAAGAGCTTGTAATATTTTGCAGATATGTGTGCCTACACCCACATAATTGCCTTTCGAATCTCAGCTGTTGCATCTAGCCTCACATTCTAACACAATCCTGTCTGTCAGGCCGAGCATGCCCCAATGGCTCCTACCACCTCGCACCATCAAGCATTTTCCAAATCTACCCCATTTCGCATCAGAGCAATCAAGTCCTGGACAGGGTTTCTGCAGGTACTGCAGAGGATGGCCTCTAAGCCAGGACAGCTCTCTGCTAGCACTACTTTTTGGCAAGAGATCCCAATCCATACTTTATAAATAAAGGACTCAGCATGATTTGCAACCTCCAATTCAAACCTTCAGTTTTTGCAAAACAGCGTCAGGTAGAAGACAAGCACGGTTCTCCCTAAAAGCGCTGATGTTAGCTCTGCAAGATGTGGATGGAGCTTACTCATCCCATGGGAACCAAGGCTGAAATGAAGGTTCAACACAGACAACAGATATTGGGTCCCTGAGAGCAGAAAGCTCCCAGAGCTGTGCTAACACAGTGCAGTGATCCAAATTTGGCTGTTCCAAGGATCCAACTGTGAGTGCCTTAAGAAGGCAGACTCTCCTTTTTTCATGCTTCAGGTTTAAGATGAACACGGGAGGAGCAGTAGGTAGAGCACGATCCTGATTCTGATCCGTTGCCTTTAAGATTCCTGCACTGACACTGCCTTAACCGAGTAAAATACCACTTGAGGATACGCACGTGAGGGAACTGTAGCTGCCTACAGCGCTGTGCCAAGCAAAGGAGCCCTTTAGGCATGTGCAGATTCATAGCATTTGAAAAATTAGGCAATTAAACAATCACATATGGATTTAACTAAAACCAAAATTAAAGTATTTCCTTCCTTTCCACCAAAATAATTCACATCTGAATGAGTAATTTGGGTTCAACAGAAGGTGACAGCTGCTCACTAGGCTAACATGTTAATTTTACAGCTTCTAACCTTAAAAGTAATGGTATGTCCACCTATCTCTGAATGCACATCCCAAAAGACAAGGCACTCACAGCTGCGTAGGCAGAGAGTGACCTTTAGTCTAAGTCCAGAGTGAGGCCTCTGAAAGCAGGAAGCTGCTTTTTGGTGGATAGGAGAATCCTTAACAACGCTTAACAAGAGATTTCCAAGCACCAAGCAGAAGGAATTAACAGTTCCGCTAACCACATGTACCAAGTTCTCCAAAGAAAAAAAAGAGTCTTTCCACAGTCCCACCGAGGGGATGACAGGTACTTCTGCAAATACTGCCAAGCATCCACATGTGTCTCTTCAAAAAGGCATTAAGCAGCACCATAGACCCAAAAGACACCCCTGTGGGGCTGTCCTCAGCTGTAACGCTTTCTTTCATTTATCAGAGGGGCTGTATTCACAGCTGGAAATCTCAAGGGAGCAAAGCCAATGTATTTACTTTTCAACAACTAAGCCCTACAGGAAGGGTAAACTGTACGCAGGAGAAACAAGGAGAACTGCCTTTAAAGGGCCAAATCTTTGCCGCTTAAAAATGTGATTGTTCTTTGTAAATATAGAGGATAAAGCAAAGTTTCCTTCAGGCTGCACAGTCATTATACAGCAAGCTGTGCACGTCTGCTACCTAGCTAGCTAAAAAGCGTTGGCAAGCCGCACATCACAAACTCTCCCGGTCTTTTGGCACCGTGTACTTTTAGTGGGTTCTGGTGCAAACATATTTTCATCAGGTTCTCTGAAGGTCACATCACCAATAGCAAGGGTATCACACAGGAGGTCGCAGTTCCTGCATTTCTGCAGGTTGGTAGAGCAGGAGCTGTAAGCCATGCGATTGGGAAAAATCCTTACTCCCCTTGCCTGCTGAAGGTACATCAGCAGCAAACCCCGTCCAAGCAACCGCAAGCGAAACCAACTTACAGCTCATGCAGCTTCTGACAGAAGCTCCAGCCATCGCGGTTGATGCGGGATATGGAGTTGTTACTGAGGTGAAGCTGGTGCAGCGACGAAAGGCCGTAGAGCGAGCCACTGTTTACTTCTGTCAGGCTGTTATACTCCAGGTGGCTGCAAAGGAAAATCAAAAGTAATTGACAGATAAGCAGCACTGGGCGAATACTGAACAATTTCCAACAAGAAGTGGGATTTTAGCTGTTTTTACATACCTTTCTACGTACCCGTGTGGATACATGCATGTGTGGGGATTTTTTGTGCAAGTGAAGGATGGAAATTCAAAGAGAACACAAAGGAAATGCCCAGAACAAGCTGTGACTGCAAAGGTATGCTCCACTGCAAGTAAACTGGGCTTAAAGCAGCCCACTCAAGTTTGCATTTGCAGAGTCTCAGCTATGTGACAGCAGCATCCAGAAACACACTGCCTTGATCACTTATGACCTTGCAAACATGCTTGAAAGCCCATCATGTTGGAAACTTCAAGCATTTCTCTGCAATAATTATTCAATTTGTTCTCTCTTATGGAAAGAAGGTATCACTGGGGTCAGCTTGATTTCTAGATATCCCAGGAGGCAGAATAATCAGGCCTGCAACATAGACTTTCCATGTATCAGTCAAAACAAATTTGCAGAAGCCAGACAATCTTTTATTTAAAGACCACTTGAGATCCTACTGAATGTCCAAATCATCAAACTTTCAAAGGAATATCGGCACAGCTTGAAAAACGGGACTTTTTTTCTTGAACGCTTGCTAAAGCGATGAGCTTTAGTAAGCTGTGGGTCAACTATAGAGAAGCTGCTGTGGCAGGGCAGAGCTTTGTGCATGGAGACACGGAAAGAAGCACGAGCACTGGCACAAGTGTCCACAGGTCTATCACAGACAGAAGTCCTTGCTCAAACACAGAGAAGGACATGACAGCATGTGAAGTCTAGGCTGTTCAAAGGAAAAAAAAAGCCCATCCCTCCAACTTACAGAACTTGCATCTTGGCCAGACCCCAGAAAGCCCCGTCAGTCAATCTGCTTATGTTGTTGCGCTGGAGTTTGAGGACTTCCAAGCTGTCCAGTCCCTCAAACGTCAGGCCTTCAATCAGGCGGATGCGATTCCGGTTCAGCTCCCTAAAATCACCAAGGCCATACAAGTTTATTAAATCCGAGTTCTTTCTCAGGAAATCGTCTGTGCAGCACACAATGGGGACAGCAATGCCAACAACTCCTCTGTCAACAGTTCCCAGGAGACGGCAGAAGCGCACCGGAAACTTTCAATCCCAGCGTGAGCCAGGGAAGTCAGCTGGGTGTGATCACTTAAATAAACTCACCCTGGGACAGACTTTCGCTGCAAGAAATAAGAGACACAGCGTGGCAGCCCCTCTTCATCCCTCCCCTCTCTGCATTTCTTTTAAGCTGTTTATCCTTCTCATCCATTTTCGCACTTCATCCTCTCTCAGAAACACCATGTGAACCAATATAGCCCAACATCAGCATTATTTCCCTTATAACCCATTTTTTTGCAGGACTTGTAACCACACAGTACAAATGCTCTCTGAAACAAGCGGGTGCCGTAAGAACTGTGAGCCCAAGAGGAAATTTTATGGCTAAGTTTGAGAGGTAAGCTTTCCGTTCCCCTGACAAATTTCATATTTTTTCTACTATAAGAAACTAATAAAGAATGAAACAAGTTGTTTCCAATAACAAGGCAGTCTTGGTATTTTGTATATACAAAGAGCTCCAACTTGGTTCATTAAATTTTATTCCCCCCCCCACCCTGAGTGGGGAGGGAAATTTTGGGAATACTTTTTCTCTGAATAGCAATAAAAACATTGTCACAGCACACTTTACCGACCTATATCAAATGGTCTTACGTATTGCTAGACCTAGACATACCAGGTGAAAACTCAGTTCCATCAAGTTAGTGGAAAATTTCATCGATGCAATGCACTGAAGCTGAAGATGGACATTTAAAACTGACACCTTTCTGCACAGAGAAGACTAACCTACAGGTAGTTCCCCAGCTGGAGGCTGCAACATCAGAACTTATTTTGGAATAGATAAGGAAGCCGTAGAACCTTTAAGCATACTTTTTAACAGCTGAAAACCCCAGAGTAGAAATTCCACTGGAGCTGAGTTCAATTAAAGTCAAGTTTGCAGGCCTAAAGACTCTTGACTTGCCGCGCTTCCCGGGCTATTAGTGAACTCTGCTTTGCCAGAAAAAGAACTGTACACAAATTCTACAACACATCGAGCCTGTACAACTTGCAAGCCGTTCATGTTTATCTATAGGGTTAAGCAACCAGCTGTGAGACTCTTGAAGAGTATCAATTACTTCAACTTCCAGTGAAAACTGTGTTCCTCAGCAGATTGAATTGACCCTCATTTTTATTACAGTTTTGATGAAAGCAGTGGATTACAAACTCTCAGTCAATGGACACCGACTTCCAGCTGAGAGGCAACTGACTTTTGAGATGCATACGCCATTGCATCACACTCTTCAATCCCAAATTGGCTATAAATCCTACGTGTGTGCAAGCACAAATGCACACCAATTCCTTAGTCACATCTTGGCTTAAGGATTTGTCCCTCCATCAGGAGGTTACCATTTAGAGGTGTGAGTTCCAACAGCTTTTGTGGAATTTATGTGAACAGATAGAGGCTGACCTTTTGCCTATCAAATTTGATGGACAGACTGCAGTGGGCCTCGGGCTGGACCCATTTCTCTAACAGCAGCAGAAAGGAAAAGCTAAATCATTAGTACTACCATTTTACACATAAAAAAGCACATTTATAGCTGCAGATGTCTATGCATCCCCACACAGCTCCTGCAGAACAACAACGTGTGTGTTATCTTGTTCAGAGTGCTATTTTCTCTGCCCAGCTATCGCCACACAGTTTTTAACAACCTTCCATCATTGCTTTTTTATTGCCACATAAAGATACCTGTGTGGTCTTGAAAAACTAACATGGCAGCTGAGATCTGTCACTCGCAACCAAAATATCTTCCAAACGTCTCTCACACCACAGACACCAGCACCTTTCAGGGGAACGGACTCGTCTCAGGCTGTCAAGCACATGAGATACTGGTGTCTGCTGCAGCAACCTTCTCTTTCCTTCCCACCACATCAGAAGAATGGCCTAAAAAGTCAATAGTTACAAGACAAAAAGGACCCTCTCCCAAAGGGCTGGCAGGGGACTCCTGCATAGTGCATTCTAAGTTTTATAGATAGCAGGTGAGGAAGGGTGACATTTGGTGTGTATGTCCTCAGGGACATTTTGTCTCTCGTAAAGTGCGGCTGAGCTTAATTAAAATGCACATTTCTACTCACAGTTGTATTAGCCTGGGTAGTCTGAATGCCTTGACAGGAAGCTGAGTGATCCTGTTTTTACTCAGACGAAGTGTTAGCAGGGACCGTGACAGACTATCAAAAGCACCAGGCTCCAGAGTGCTGATTCTGTTGCTCCCCAGGTAGCTGCAATAAATCACAGCAGAAAAATTAACAGTTCTGTCAGAAATCTCCTTTTATCACCATTTAGTTGGTCTCCAGACAGGCTGGTGAAATTACAGAGGTGACTTGAAATCAGTTGGATTTCTGGCTGCACAAAGAGCACAGTGCCTTTCCCAGAGCCGTGCGATGAACAGGGAGAAGTGCTGTGCACTTTCCAAGAGCTCCCTGACACCCTCCTACTTCAGCAAGGCAACTGGGAGTGGAAGCCACAAACTGGAGAATATTCCCATGCAGGATGACTCTATGCATTCCCCATTTTTCCCTTTGCCCTTTCCCCAGGGCTGTTTCTTATTTGGACCCTAGTACTGGCCACAGAGGCTGTTTTCACAGGACAACAGGCAAACCTCAGTTATTACATCACTATCTCATATCCTCTTACAAACACAGGCAGAAACATAGGTGCAAACTCGAGTGCAAGCAGATTATCTGTCTGCATCTCTTTAAAGGTACCTAAACACAGATTAATATGTTTCCCTAAACAGGCAAACATCTCCATTGGGTGGGCGTTACTCTGTTGGTTGTTTTTTTCAAACAAGCCATAAGAAATTTCTGTTCTTAATATTCAGTAGCCACTTAGATGATGACATAGTCATCCCCCTCCCTGCTTCCAGATGCACAAGGGCTGATTTGGGAAATAGCTTACACCCTTCCCGCTGGGGAGGAGACAAAGGTCTGCTCCAGAGAGCTTTTCTGGCTTCTAGGCTTCCAGCTGTAAAGACACCCACACCTGAATGACGCAGGATACATTGTCTCTGTTGCAATATTCCCATGCAACACATTTAATAACAATGTGCATTCTTTACAGACACATCAGAAACCAAAAAGACAGAGCTCAAAAAATAACTGGACAGTAGGGGCAACGTGCTGCCTTTTAATTCTTCTTTGCACTTAAAAGTCTGATGAATAACTCCGAACTTTTTAAGTTCACTCCCTCTCCTTTTTTTTAGAGAGGATTTGAGGCCCTTTTCTCTGCTGTGGTAACTCAACAAAAGCTGTTCCCAACAAGAAAAACTCACAGCTCCTTTATGTGAAGTCCCTGCGGAAAGCAGCCGTTTCGGATTTCCGTGATGTCATTGAAACTCAGGTCCAACGTTTCCAGGGCAACGTAGGGCTTCAGTTGACTTGCTTCAATGCCCCGGATCCTGTTGTGATGCCTGAAACAGTCAGGAGGAGAAATGGAGACAATTTAGTTCTCTCAGAAAAACAGAAAGAACATCCGAGGCTGCCGTCAGGCCCACGGGCTGGGCCCTGAGCTCACACACCCAGGCTCACGGTGCTTCTTCAACAGCTGTCCCAGGAGAAATCCCTACAAGAGAGACCTTCCCTAAGCCCCGTGCTGTTCGTAAGGCTAGCGAGCTTAGCTCACCATTATTTGAAAGTTTCCAGACACTTTTTCTGGTATGGTACAAAACTTCTCCCTCCTGCAGAACTACCTACTCAATTAATCAGTTTCTCTTCCAGTAATTTGGGCTCAGCCTTGTACGGCTCTGGATTTGTAGGATGGATTTGCTACATGCAAAGGCTGCAGGGCTGGATTTTAATCCCATAGGCAAAGAGTGCTGATCAATGGTTTAAGCAATCTGCCAATGTTTTATACAGAGAATGGCATTTTCAGATCAGGAAATAGATAAGTTAATGTGATCTCAGATCAGGAAATAGAAAGTAAATACAATCTCAGCAAAAGTTACAAAACATCACTTCCTTAATTCCTAAGGACTCTTCTGAAAACTCTCAGCTTTGCACTATGTTACAACATCATTTAATACACAGAAATACTGTAAGAAGGCATGCAAACATTTCCTCATCTTCTGCTACCTTTGTCCCACTGTGCAGTCAGGACAACCCTGCAGTGCCAGCGCTCTGCCTAAGCACCAGCTGCAGGATCCAACCCTGGAGCTACCATCTGTTTGCTGCCTTACCAGCCTGAAGGATTCATTCTGGTGTTTTTCTTTAGAGAAAGTATTACAAGCTGTCCTCCGGGTTTCTGCAGCCATCAAACAGTTAAATACTTATAAATCTCATCTGTAGTCAACAAGATCTAACTAAAAATCCCCTTTGACTCTTTTCAGCCCTGAGTTGGTAGAGAGAAGAGTAATCAATGAAAAGAATACATCGTGCATTAGTCACAAGAAGTAGAGCCCATGCCTGATGTGAATTTAGACTGATGTTACTGGCAGGACTGCAAGTGAGGCACTCCAAACGGAGACGCTCACCAGACACTTGAAAACTTGCTGAATAATAAGAGTAGAGAGAGTTCAGACAAGTACTGTGCCTTAATCCTGCTGGCTACCCACGGAGTAACCAGAAGAGACAGGAGCCAGTGAAAGCACTCCTGAACGCAAACCAGGATGCCCCAGATCTCCCTACAAAGCATCAGCTGTTTGAAACAAAAAACTGTCGGATGAGCCGATCACAGCCTCCCCGGCACTGAAGCCGATGGGTATCTATGGGTGCCCAGGAGCGTGGCTTCACCCACATTTCAGGCTCTCCCAGGGGTTCAGACAAGCCCCTTTCAAAGAAAACGTCTCCCCCAAAAGAAAACACCAATAGCACATGGCAAGGGACCCGCTCGCCACACCGTGACCTGCTGCTCCTTTACCCTTCCTGTTATCAAAACCAGATTGCTTCAGCCCCACATTTGCCAGTGTCTGTAACAGAAAGAGGGTAAAAAACTGCATTCCCCACAACAATTTGCTTTCTGGAGACTCCCCCTTTAAACAGCCAGCACGTGACCCTCACCTACTCTCAGGAAACAATCACAGAAATGTCGCTTTGACTAAAGAGTTTAAATGATACTTAATTAATTCAGTGCAGGCTCACAAAACACAAAGGACAAATTTAATACCATTATAGCAGTGTGCTGCTAATATGATGCAAAAATTTGTCACGAAAATCAAAGGAAAAGTCATAACTTACGCCCTCGAACTGGTTGTTCCATGGTTTACAGGCACAGACTGTGTAAAAGGCGATGCTATGGCTACTATCCAAGTGGCCAATATTCATTTACAGCTAGGACTAAAGGCTGAATTTTAACATTCCTACACATAGTGTAACAGCGGTCCAAGGAATTTATGCTACAGTGAGACTAAAATACAGGAAAATTCACTACAAACAGAATTTTGTGACCTTCATAAACTACACACATGGGCAAGGGGGATTTCTTTTGCTCAAGGACTAGTTTCTTCTGTGATGAACTCAATTAGTAGAATCAGCAAGTTCAAAAATTTCAATCTTTTTTCCTCCTCAAAAGAAGAGAGTCCATTAAGTGCATGTGTGACCTTGATTCAGGAAAGTACCTCAACACAGACATATGTGAAAGCAAACCTCAAGCATGTTTTCTGGAGCGCTCCTGAAGCAGGGGCTGCGAGTTCAACTCTGATTTCATCTGAGCTGTGACGCCCGAGATGAATCTGGCTGCAGATTAACAGGAAATGAAGGCTTGTACAAATGAACCTGGAGAATCTATAAATTACCTGACAATCGCTGCACAGGGCAGCTAAGTCTGCAAGGGGCTGAGAGCAGAGAGCGAGTTTGGATACGAAGTGCTCTTGGGAAGCCAATGTTATTTTTTTAGAGTATTAATATTTCTGTGCTTTAGTTACTCAACATACATCCAATCTGTCCGCCTGCCAGATCTCCCAGCCTGTCCCACAAGACAGATTTTTAAAAGGGACGAAGACAACAAGGAAGAACTATTTTGCTTGTGCCATGTTTGCAGTTTCCAGGTGACTTCCATTCGCTTCCCTCCTGCTTTTTACGTGCTACAGCTGGCAGGTTAGATGGATGCACTATTTCACACAAGAAAAAAACAGGCTTCTCTCTCTCCTTCTCTTTGTCTCCTTCAAACATGGGCCGACTCCAAATGCAACTCTCAGCTCCAAACACCATCCCCGGCCAGTCCCAGCTGGGGAATGTCAGACAGTTCCCTGCAAAGCGCTGCACCCTCTCAAGGCACCGCGCTTCAAACAAAACCAGCCTGGCTGACTTTTCCTACACACAGCAACTGATATGAACGCAACATCGTCCAAACCTTTTACTGGCTTGATTACATTTAACTTTTCATTCTTTCAGTAAGAGCTGAAATGCCAGTTAACCCTTCCTGTTATTACTTGGATCCTTTCAGCCTTCGTTCCCGATCCCATCGCAAGGGTGTTTTGCAGAAAAAAGACCTGTGACGTTATGACTTTACCACTCCCCTTTAGCAGTGACTGGAAAAGGGCTGGATTTTTCCCAACTAGCTCCTTAGTTTACACTTTGCTGGCTTCAAAGGTGGCGGATCAGATTTTAGTACCAACTGTCGAAACCAGGCCTTAAAGCACAAATTATTGGTGCTTCCACAACCAATTTGCCTCCAAGAGTCTCTTCCTTTACCCACTCCCTAGGTATCACAGCCTGGAAAGAGCTTTCCCGTCTCACTTCAGCCAGTGTTACCTCAAGAGTACACGATGACAGGGCTTCAATGTGAGATTGTGCAATTAGAGCCATGAGCAGGAGCCAAGTCTCTTGGTTTCTATTCCCAGCTCTGGCACTGACTCATCTGCCTCGGGCAAGTTTCTTAACCCCTCTCTGCCTCTAGGTTACTGATGTGTATGGGAATGGACTACCAGACTCAGAGGATGCAGGACCACTTCCAGTGAGGGCTAAGAAGCTGGAGCAAAACCAGCCCAAGTGACAAAGAAATCACAGGAAACACGGAGCCCATCCAAGCCCATTTGGGAGGATCTGGCTAAAATAGTTGAACTTCCCAGTCTAAACCCAACCTCATGCCCAGAGACAGCTTGTTCGCAGCTAATGCAGATCTTGAACTGTAACACCGTGGTGCCGCACTGAAGTAACTCCAAGTCAGCAACGGTTTATGTTCATGCTCTGAGCTGCAGACTTAGGGCACTTGTTCAGGGACTGCTGCGCTGAGGGCAGTGACCTTCCAGCCACTGCTGCTTCACCTGCCTGCGCCCCGGTTCAACACACCCAGGCGGTGCAGCCCCTCAGCCCCTGCCCTTGGCACCACGCTTGAATGGACCCTGCAGGATTTCAGGAGATTTGGATTAACCTCAGCCAGCTCTTCACTGAACCAAGCCTGTGAGGACCAGGGCAGGAAGCAAATGCACACTCAGCGCTCCTCCGGGCTGCTTCGAGACAGAAAAACAAGCAAAATGTTCCAGCGAAGCCAAAGCGTGTTTGGGTTTGCTCTAAGTCAGGAGGGAGCTGAAGGGGGTGGCAGGAAAACAACAGGTGGCACAAAGTCAAAAGCTTGCAGCATTTCCAGGAATCTCAGCTTGTATTTTAGAGGTAAAGTTACACTTTAATCCCGGTCGGTTTCCTCGTTCGAAGTGTCTTTGTGAATATTTATTTGATAAACAGTCTGTAAAACATTTTCCACTAGACCTAATGGGAGAAAAATTCACCTTCTTCTTTGCAGCAAGCCTGTCCTTTGGAGAACACTAATCAGTTTAATTTAGAATGTGGCTTCAAACTACTTGTGTGAAATCGATGCAGAGAGCAGCACAACCACGCTCCTTTGTCGTTTGAGCCACATTTACTTCCCCTCAGCAGCTGTACCCGTTAGACAGCCGACAGCAGAAAATCAAAGCAAGTAGACCCTCAGATGGGAATGTACAAGGGGCTTTGGTTGGACCGATTTAAATACAACCAGCTCAAAACCTCCTGGTTTAGACAAAACTTGAATTAAGGCTGCCTTGGCTGCTGGGAGTCTGCAGCGCAAATGTTTGGTGTGAAGTGAGGCTAAAGGCAGGGAGAAGTCACATGCTTGGCCTTCATGTAGTGTCAGCTTACAAAGCTGGCCGGCCTCACGAAAAAAAAAAAGAAAAAAAAAAAGAAGCCATAATACAGCAAACCCATTAAACCAACACCTGTTATAGGCATCAAAAATAAAATCAAGCTTCAAAAGAGAGGCTCTGCACCTCGGGAAGGGTTCTATTATTACGCCAGCACATTTTCAAAATTAGCATCCGAGGGAGATCACAAGACTAGAAACAGCGAGATTAAAAAGTTCAGGGTTTGGTTAATAGTTCCATACTGGGAAAGTATTGAAGAAACTAAATGCTGGAGCCAGAAAGAGTTATGGGGTTTGTTACTGAAGGACAAGCAAGGTTTGGTGTCAGAGAGAGACCATGCAAAGAGAGCGAGATCAAAG